AGCAGGAGATTGGACTAGACAATCCCCAGAGATGCCTTCCAACCTCGACTATTACGCGACTCTCTGATCTGCTTTGTTTACTTACTCTAGCTTACTTACCTTATTAAGGTGTCTTCCTTCATGACTATATTTAAAAAGGCAGTAATTCAACATTATTTCATGTTGAAACTTCTGTAAAATTTTTCAGAGTCTTTTAAAGGGTATTCCATGTATCTAATTCTAATTTACTTCAATGATAACACCTAAGGCTTGATTTTTTTATTTTTTTTTTTTTTATTATTAAGGCTTAAATGTCTGCTTTTGCAGATCTGAGCATTAAATAAACAGGAAAGACAAAAGGGAGCTTGTGGACGTCATGATATTATAGCATGTATGCTTGCACCTGTATCAAGAAAAAAAAAAAGAGTATGTGGCAAGATGTTTTATTCACATTCACTGATGTACCTGGCTGTCTTCTAAGCTGAAAAAGTTAGGAAAATATGAATCTCCTGGAGCATTACTGTGCTGCCATGTGGATATTTCCTAAGCATTGCTTTGCCCTTTTTGGTAGGATACCAGTGATCAGAGCTCTGCGGGAAATGCTTTGTCTCCCTTTCTTTTTTTTTTTTTTTTTTTTTTTTTTTTTTTTCCAGTGAGAACCTGAGAGTTCACAAAGTTTTCGTTTTGTGACTCAAGAATAGGAGAACAATGGAAGTAAAAGTCTTCATTAAAAACTTTTTCCCCGCGCACACGTTTTCATTTTTGGTTTTTCCATCAGTTCAATAATATATACTTGACTTTTCAACAACAGCTGCTGAGAACTTTGCAATGGATTATTTCAGGAGTTTTCTTTCTCCAGAAAGCTGATTAACTGTTACTAGTGGCTGTGAGACTATCCAGACTCATAACATCTTTCACCAAAACCTGAAATGATAAAAGTTTTTCATGCTTTGTTTCAGTTGCCATAGGCATACAGAGTTTGAGTTAAGGGGTGTGTTAGCATTTCACCATCTCCGACGCTACTTGCTTCAGACAAAAGTTGGATAGGCAAGTGTGAAGTAATTCACTTTCTCCTATTACTTGGATCTTTCTTTCAGTCAGTTGACTCTTGGTCTTTTATTAGAAGGCTGAAATATGAAATGTCAATGTCTTTTCATTGAAATTGTTATTAAGTAATTGTTATTAATTAATCATTAGGTAAGATGGTTATTAAGTGAAGAACCATGATACTTACAGAAACACTCAGTTTTTAGCTTGATTTCATGATCTTACTGTCAGCTCATTTCCCCAGTTCACTGGCATAGTAGATAATAAAGTTTTCTTTGTTTCAAAATTTTATTTTAATCATTATTTCTGTGTTATACCTCTTCCAGAATGTGAATAAATGTTTCCTTGTTGTCTTAGTATCATAGGATAATTTAGGTTAGAAGGAACTTCAAGAGGTTTCTACTGCAACCTCCTGCTCAAAGGAAGGTTGGCTCTGAGGTCAGAGCAGGTTACCTAGGGCTTTATTTAGTTGGGTCTTAAAAATCCCCAGGAAGGCTGCACAGCCTCTCAGCTCCACTGCTTGGCTGTTCTTACAGTGAAAACTTTTTTCCTTATATCCTTAACATCTCTTTGTTCCAGTTTATGCCTCTTGTTTCATGTCCTCCCACTATGAACCACTGTGAAGAGCATGGTTCTGTCTTCTCTTTAACTAGAAGGCTGCTGTTGGTTTTCCTTGAAACAATCTTTTCTGCCGGCTGTACAAGCCCCAGTGCCTTTTCTCACAGAGGAAGTGCTTCCAGGCCACTGACTCTCTTGTTGGCCCTCTTTCTTCATTCATTTTATTTTCTTTGTATTAAATTAAACAAAAGTCCTAATAAACTCTTTTATCAGAGTTTTCCCATACTTAAATTATATGGATTTAGAGAAGTATAATATGATTATTATTATTTTTCCTCCTCTATGAAGGTTTCATAGGACAGATAGACTTACTAACAAGATCATAGTCTAGTATTGGAATTACAGTATTCCAGTGAAGCTACAGCACTGATATATATATAAAAGACACTAAAAATAAAGATTATTTATTGTTTGTTTTCCTGTGCATCTTAATGCCTCCCACACCCCGGTAGTTACAGCTGTGCTCTCTTTAACAGTGGACTAGATGGGTCTTTACAGGTGATTACATCTCCTTTTTGACTTAATAGTTTAGTGTTCTTCCAGAGTGTTCGTATGCATGAGTATGTACATCAACAACACATACAGTGTTGCATAATATAGTTGATGCACAACTTGTGTGAAGCATTGTTTCATCCAGTCGCATTGTTTGTCTAACTTTCTTGGAGGCTGATTTTATGATCCTTTGATACTGATTGCGTAAGTAGTTATCCACAAATCACTCTGCTACAGAAAAATCTTCTTTTTTCTTTTTCTTTTTTTCAAAGTAATCAACAGGTAACATGGGACTATAATTTCAGTGTTAACATTTGTCATGTTGAAGACCAATCCTTCTCTTCTGTGGTTTGTCTCATAGTTGGTCTTGCAGCTTCTACATTCTGTTCTAACTTTTCCCAACTTTCTAAATGACAGTTTGGGTCCAGAGACTGAGCACCTTACAGAAGTTTTGTTGGTTAGAGAAAACTTGTGGAGACTGCAGTACCTGAAATGAAGTGCCATGCTGTTTACCTCTTTAGTTCACAAATGGTTTTCTGTAGTTTTACCACATTAGTTTAGGGATGAGTTTTGGTGGTTTGTTTTTTGTTTCTATTATTCTTCATCAGTCAGTATACTTGTTAGTTTACATATATCTGTGTTTTAAAACAAACAAAAAACCCAAAACCACAAGGTTGAACAAGGCACATAAATCTGCTGACTTTGATGTCTAATACATTGTCTCAGTTCTAATAGGTTTTGGGCTTGGGGTTTTGCTGGTTTGATTTGGTTTTCTGGTGGGATTTTTTTTGTGTTGGTTTGGGGAGGGTGGGTTATGGTTTATTTGTTTGGAATTTGGTTTGTGGGGTTTTTTTTTTTTGGCTTTTTTTTTTTTTTTTTTTTTTTTTTAAATTGATGCTTTCCATAAGACTTCCTTGATAACCTACAGCATACCCCATCATGAGAGAACAAGAATGTAGGCTTCCTTTCAAATTCGCATCTGGATGCTTTTTGCCCTGTGATCTTAATCATGGTCTTAAATAGTTCTCCATTGTCAGCCTTTTCAAGAGTGAACATGTTGGTATTTATTTAGCTTTGTCAGTTATGTTGGAAAGATCAGTGGGTATGTGGCCAACTGTATTAATTCCTTTAGCAGCTACTCTTTTAAAAGTTGTGGCATCTAATATTTTAGAAAAGAGTCGGGTCTGTATCTCAGAAATTGCTGTGTTCAGATAGATGCTTGTGCTTTCCAGTACTACCATCAGTGTCATCTTACGTTGGAATGTGGAAATTGCTGTAAGGAAAAAGAAAAATTATCTGTAGTAATCTTCCTGACTTATGCATACAAATATAAATTAATATTCTGAGAAAATGACAATTAATTTATCAGGTGAAAATTGGAAAAAGATAAATAAGAGTTTCTTGGTGAAACAACTCACTGTCAGCACATTGTGTAGTGCTGGACTAAGAACCTGTAAAAAATTTACTACTTTTGCATATTTGTTCTGGACATTCCTCACACTAAACTGATCAGCTGAACTGCTTTGATCTTGTACCCAGACCAAAAATAATCCAGAAGAAAAGTGAGGAGGAAAAACAGGGTTGGTTTGTTTGGTTTTTTACAGGTGAGATTGTGAGAAACAAGCTCACTTCATCAATTTTAGCCAGGGACAAAGTCTGTGGAGCAAAGAATATTTTATTTACAGCTCTGGGAGCTTCACAGAGGATTTCTCCTCTGTGACTCAACTCTAGCTTTCCAAAAGGCTTGTTTTTATCTCTCATATTGTTACATATTCATAGTTTTTCCAAGGATAGGTGGCCTGTATTACAATTAGTTCCAGGAACTCATTATCTTAAGTCTCTTCGCTTCGGCACCTGCGCATTGCTCTCTGGTGGTCCTGGGCTGGGGTCTCTGAGATGAAGTAAGAAGTCTTCCTCACTATGCTCTCATCACCTTTGGCCCAGTTAGTTGCTTCTGCAGCCGCAAGACCAGCTGAAACTGGCCCTATCAATGGCTTCCTTCTGTTGCTTTAGCAAGTGTTATGCTTACCTTACACTCAGGTTAAGATAGACTAGATTACCAGAAACTACTTTCCAGAGCTAGGTTGCTGGTTTGCTTACATATCCACATGAAACACTGTACCCTAACGCACATTGACATTGCCAAACTTATGAACATTAAACAAATAATTGTGTTAGCTGAAGCAAAATTTCCCCATTCAGTTATTTATCACAAGATGAACATGTTTGTTGTGCAATCAGATGAGGATCAGCAGAGAAGGGGCAAGACTTCTTTGGGCAGTAGGATTTTTAAATCATTCAAGTTGAACATGGAATTTTACCTAGAGTGTAGTTCTCTTTATAATTAGCTTAGTGTGGTTTACACTGTACTGTTTCTGGGTATCTGGTAGAACTTGCTAGTCCATCTGTTCATTTAGGTTCATACTAAAAATAATCTTTTGAAAACTCTGACCGCTTCTCTGGATTTGAAACACCAAGTGTTTCTCCTCTTAGCTGCATGAATCAGTTCAGAAGTGACAATAAAGATCTGTAAGGCTGGGAGGGCTTTTGATCACCACTACTAGGAGAAAAAGCTGTTTGCTGTGTAGAAGGAGAAGAATGAGCTTTCTACCACTCAAATCTTTGTTTAGAAATAATTCAAATCACTGTTCTAAAAACTCTGTCTTTTCTATTTACAGTGTCTGAGCAACACACCTCCTCTTACAGAATACTTCCTCAATGATAAATACCAAGAAGAGCTGAATTTTGACAATCCTTTGGGAATGCGAGGTGAAATAGCAAAATCTTACGCAGAGCTTATCAAGCAAATGTGGTCAGGAAAATACAACTATGTAACCCCAAGAGCATTTAAGGTCAGTAGGGAATTTAACCTGAATATGCTTTGTCATTTGGTTTTGCAGTTTAAGTATGCAAAACTTACGGAAATATGCGAGAATAAGAATTTGAAGTCATATTCATCAGTATGCAGACTATTCATTTAACTGTTAAAACATTTGGATGTATATATAAGTGTGAACTGTGCTTTGGTCTTTGAGAATTAGTTTTTGGCTTCCTGTCTCCATTGAAAAGCTTGTCTTTTATAACTTTACACATTTTACCTTTTCAACTTCCTGTTGTAACATCTTGGAAGTATCTATTCTTTATAACAAGTAAGGTACCAGAAGTGTTTGTATTTATACTTTTTTAGACACAAGTGGGACGATTTGCGCCACAATTTTCTGGTTATCAGCAACAAGATTGTCAAGAGCTACTGGCTTTTCTCTTGGATGGATTACATGAAGATTTGAATCGAATTAGGAAGAAGCCTTACATTCAGTTAAAGGATGCAGATGGGAGGCCAGACAAGGTAGTGTTCTGGTTTTGAATTTCTCCATTTTAGTCAAGGCTATACACTGCAAGATAGTTCTACGTGATTGTGCTTCGAAAAGTTGGGACACTGATCACGTGTGGCTTTACCTGGAAGAGATTTCAGAAAACAAGCCGAGACCTTAAAATGGAGATCTTCAAGTACCTGTGTAAACTTCCGATTATTCGCAAGACAATTGGGTGGGGTGGAAGGGTGTTAAAGAGTTGGAAAAATAATTTCCATTCTGTTGTTCTGTTATTCTTATACCTACACTATGCAGTGTTCTGTCTTTCTCCAGTACTTTTCCTTTAGGGAAACTCTTCTAGCACTGAGCTATAAGCATACAGATAATTTAGTCTCACTAGTAATTCTCACTATTCATTTCCTATTACTTTGTTATAACCCAGGTCATGCTTTAATTACAGGTGGTTGCTGAAGAAGCCTGGGAAAACCATTTAAAAAGAAATGATTCCATCATCGTAGATATATTTCACGGCCTTTTTAAATCCACCCTGGTTTGTCCTGAATGTGCTAAGATATCTGTAACCTTTGATCCCTTTTGTTACTTGACACTTCCATTGCCCATGAAAAAAGAACGCACTCTGGAAGTTTATTTGGTTAGAATGGATCCACTTGCAAAGCCGATGCAGGTAAGCCTGTAAATTTATATACAAAATTCCTGTGTCCTTAGCAGTGAACCCAAGTTGCTTTATAGTTTTTAAATTTATAAGTACAATAAGCAAATCCAACAAGCTTTAGTTTTCTGATATGTGTTCTGAAGTCTCACTTAGAAAGCCTGAGGAAGACTATATTTCTATCAGTTTCAAGGAAGATATTGGTAAATTCTTTATGGTTGTGTTAAAAAGGCTTCTTAATTTTTAAAATATATGCTGTCTTCATTTCTTGTTTTAGTGTTGCTTTAAATAATTTGAATGGTTATTTAAAAAAAAAAAAGTACTTGTACACTTAATCCAGACTTAATTTCTCAGTTCTCAGCCTCAGAAGGCAAATCTTGGCAATAACTGGTGCAGAAAACTCCAGACTAAGTATATTAGTCAGTCCTGAATTCTTCTATGCTGTCACTTAATAGTCAAAATCAAAGATTTCTTTGTAAAGAATATATCTTTTGCCTTTTTTTAGGAAGGATGGTTATACTATACCTTAGAATGGCATGAAACAATGTACATAGCTTATGGTAACAAAATCATGATTAAATGGTTCTGTTATAGGGTAAGCAAGGATAGGGGAAATAAATAGGACACAGGCAGTTAGGCAGACTTGCATAAAGGCTTTAACACCTAACATCAGAGTACTATAGGAGAGAAGGTGGGAGGGAAAGGGAGTATTCTCAAAGGAAATATGAGTTAAGGAAGTCAAAGGTAAAAGGACACGTATTAACTGTTGGGAGATGAGCCTGCTAGAAATTCAATTATTTGTGACAACAGGCTTGCACAGGGGACACGCAATAGTTGAGGGTGACCCTGTGTGACATGTGAGATGGTTATGCAGGAATGAATAGATTTTCGGAAGAGTATGAGTTCAGTAGAACTTTCGTGAGTCTAAATAACTGTAAGACTTGAGATACCAGACACATGATGTACTTGGCAATTAATTGCAAAGTTATAATACCTTCTTTCTAATTAATCATGTCTTTACTTATTATGCAAATAACAGGTAAGAGTCCTGTGTGGAGTTTCATTTCAAACTGCAGGGAAGCCACAGGGAGTTTTTCTTTGACTGTTAATCATCAGGTTCTCTCTCTGCATGAGAAATTAAAATCAGCCTTATCCATTGCTTGCCGTTGCTTTTTTTATTCCCAGTAATACTTTATGAACGACTGGTGTTGTATTCTAAATTTAAGAATCTAGTGACTAGCATGCATACTATTTAAATGCTTAAATAAGCAGGTGCTGTTGAAATAGAAATCTAAGTGATTGCTGCTGTTAGTCTTCTTATGGAGAAAGTAACCTTAAAGAAAAACTTCATGTAAACTAATAAATGTAGCATTCAGAGTATGCGTGATTGTATGAATAAAGTTGTGAAGGTAACTACTGCTTTTTCAGTAGCTTTTGGAATTTGTATTAGTTGATTTCCATACTTTACACCTTAAGTTCAAAAATATGAAAGAAGTACATGAAGTATGCTGAACATGTGATAAGTTGTTTTTTTCTCATGTGTATTTGTTCTCTTAAGAAATTAAAGTGACATTTTATTCTTTTTTTTTTTTTTTAGTACAAAGTAGTTGTTCCCAAAATTGGAAATATATTGGATCTTTGCATAGCATTGTCAGCTTTGTCTGGTGTTGCTGCAGATAAGGTAAGAGTGATTTCTTAGAGGAAGCAGAAGAATGAACATTTCGACATATACTAACCTGATGTAATGATATGTACTCCATTTTCTTTTTAGATGATTGTTACTGATATATACAATCACAGGTTCCACAGGATATTTGGCATGGATGAAAATCTGAGTAGTATTATGGAACGTGATGACATTTATGTGTAAGTACAGATAACATAGAATCATAGAATAGTTAGGGTTGGAAAGGACCTTAAAGTCCTCCGCCTCCCCCCCCCCCCTGCCATGAGCAGGGACACCACACACTAAACTATGTCGCCCAAGGCTCTGTCCAGCCTGGCCTTAAACGCCTCCAGGGTTGGAGCATTCACAACTTCCTTGGGCAACCCATTCCAGTGCCTCACCACCCTCACTGTGAAGAACTTCTTCCTTATATCTAACCTAAGGTTCCCCTGTTTAAGTTTAAAGCCATTACCCCTTGTCCTACCACTAGAGTCCCTAATGAAGAGTCCCTCCCCAGCATCCTTACAGGCCCCCTTCAGATACTGGAAGGCTGCTCTGAGGTCTCCAACGCAGTCTTCTCCAGGCTGAACATCCCCAACTTTCTCAGCCTGTCTTCCCAGGCTGGTTTGGGTTAGAAGGAACCTTAAAGCTCATCCATTCCCAACCGCTGCCACGGGCAGGGACACCTTCCACTAGAGCAGGTTGCTCCAAGCCCCTGTGTCCAACCTGGCCTTGAACACTGCCAGGAATGGGGCAGCCACAGCTTCTCTGGGCACCCTGTGCCAGCGCCTCAGCACCCTCACAGGGAAGAATTTCTTCCTAAGGAGACAAAGCACATTCAGGGAATATAAGTAGTGAGTATTTCCTTCCAGATGAGGACACCGAGAAATACAGAGGTTAAATGAGGAATCAAATGCTTCATGTATCTTTGCAGTTTGTTTAGTTCTTTGCAAAAGATTAAAATGTAGGCATAAGATGAAGACAAATCTTGGGTGGTTTATTATTTTTTAAGTTTTTTTCCCTTTATAGCCTCTTAAATGACAGTTGTCCTTTGTATTTCTGATTGTTTTTCTTTTAGATTTGAAATTCCTATCAATAGGACAGAAGATACAGAACAAGTTATAATTCCTGTTTGTTTAAGGGAGAAGTGCAGGTACACTAGCTACAGCCATAGTGGTTCTTCACTCTTTGGTCAACCTTTTCTCATAGCAGTGCCTAGAAACAATACTGAAGATAAACTGTATAACCTGCTGCTGCTAAGAATGTGGTAAGGTTATTGTTTAAAGGAAAACATGTTTGCTATGAATAATGCTAATAGTTGTAATCAGTACGAACTTGTGTTTACATGCATTGCTTACAAACTGAGTAGATTTGAGTACTTAGTCTTTTATTTTCTTTCTGTTAAATGTATTTAATCTAAAATTGTAGCCACTTGAGACATGAACTAGTGTGGGTTTTAATTTGACCTTTTTGTTTTGGTTTTGTTTTGGTTTTGTTAGCATGACCTCATCAAAAAACTATTTGAGAAGAGATCAGAGAGTCAATCTGTATTGTCAGTTTTGGGGAATTAATTCTGCTGTATACATAGCTGCTTGTTAAGGTTTGGTAAAATGGAAGTGTTTTGTCAGTTATTCTGCCATGGTTATAACTCCTGTATCTACTATACAAGTTCATATGCTAGTTTATGTTGTAAAAGTACATGGTGGATACCTTCTGAAACTAGGCTGGAATAAGTGTCATTATGTGGGAAAAATTAGAATCATGTAACTTCCAATTTAAATTCGTGCTTCGTTTTCTGTTGACATAACTTCCCCTGTAAGTGAACAGAGAAATATATTTTTCTGTTTAAAAGAAAAAGTGGTTAATGAACAGTTAAAGAAGTGAAGTCTGGACAAACAAACTAATAACCAAGAATCAAGTTGTATAAAATCAAGTAACTACCAAAAGGTGAGCAGAATTTCAGATGTACCTGTAATAGTACATGTCAGGCAACAAACATATTCTGAATAAATCAGGAGTGCATGAATACAGTACACTAGAAAATATTTGCTGTAACCATTGAATATTTTGGCTTGAACAATGTAAATATTTAGAAATCCGTTGGTTCTAACTATTGCTTTCATTTGTTATATTTAGCCGATACGTAAAAACGTGTACCGAAAGTGAAGACACTGAAGGAACCCTACATTGCTGTAAGGACCATGGTATCAATGGTAATGGCCCGAATGGAATACATGAAGAAGGATCTCCAAGTAAGGCTGGAATATCTATAATTGTTTAGTATTTTGTGTTCAGTTTGAAACTGAAGTTAATTCTGTAGTGTCCTTCAGTTATTGTTATTCTACTTAATTTCTTCCTCCTTACTCTTCTGATTGTTTCAGGTGAAATGGAAACAGATGAACAAGATGATGAATCTAGCCAGGATCAGGAACTTCCTTCAGAGAATGAGAACAGCCAGTCAGAAGACTCAGTTGGAGGTGACAATGACTCTGAAAATGGATTATGTACTGAGGATACTTGCAAAGGTCAACCACTCATGGGACACAAAAAGCGATTGTTTACATTCCAGTTCAATAATTTGGGCAATACTGACATAAACTACATCAAAGATGATACCAGGCATATTAGGTTTGATGACAGGCAACCTAGGCTTGACGGTAAGTCATGGGGAACAGGTTGGGCAACACTTGATTCTGATACTTGTTTCTGACTCCACTTTCATAGGACAGTGTTTCATTCTCTCTGTGTGCTATTCAATACATCTTTTTTTTCAGTAGTAAATTCTGTATAAATAATTTGTTACTGTAATTAACTCATAAAAATGCAGAAATTGTGTATGCTTCACTTTTTCATCTTAAATTCATGCTAGCATTTTTTAATTTATTTTGAAGAGTGTTTGCCCAAAGTTAATACAATTTCATGTAAAGCAAGGAATAATACTAAGAGAAAACATGTTTTTAATCTTAGAAAGATCTTTCCTTGCTTTGGATTGGGATCCCGAATTGAAGAAGAGATATTTTGATGATAGTGCAGCAGAGGTAAGCTGTTTATGTTGCTCTCCTTTCCAGCACTAATAAAACTTAAATGTGAAAAACACAATTTAATGTGACATAAGAGATTGTGTGTCTTCAAAAGAAGCAGCTAGGTTTTGGTTTGGGTTTTTTTCCCCCACATTATTCGTAGTAAATATTTTGTCATAAATAAACTTCATTTACACATCTAATTAATTAGCAAATCTGAGGCTTACTAATTTGGAAGTAAATCTGAAACTGTGAAAGTTTTTGCTAGAATGGTTTCTGATCAGTTTTTCCATATATAGGAGCTTTGTAGTTACTGTTTATAGTAAGACGACATCACTAAAATGAGTTTTGTTTCATTTGTTCTCTTAACTCAAGAAATACTTCTCTTTAGGATTTTGAAAAACATGAAAGTGTGGAATATAAGCCTCCCAAAAAGCCTTTTGTGAAATTAAAAGATTGCATTGAGCTGTTCACAACAAAGGAAAAACTAGGTGCCGAAGACCCATGGTAAGGACAACAAAATTAAAATTGTTACGTTCTATTGTGTATTTGTCAAAATGTGATCAAAACCACACTTGAACATTAACAGAGATACTTAAATGATTTCTAAATGGTATTTTGAATCTTGAAGTCATTTCAAGCATAGTTGGAAATTCTCAGTATGTTTTCTGTTTTGATCCACTGCTTAACTAAAATCATTACCATATACAGAAGGTTATGTTTGTATGGGAGACAATTAGTGCATTCAGAATTAGGAGGAAGGGTAGATCCATAAGATATTCTAGTCTATGAACTGTGATCTACAGTGAATGAATAACATTGTGGCAAATCCAATGCAGTGTTTTAAATACTTCTTTTACATGGGAAAGCTTGGTGCATATTGAAGTTTTTTATGTAGCTATATAACTTGCCTTGCATTGATGTATGAAACTGGGGTGTGCTTAAAGAACACGTTTGTGGGATAGGGAATGTCTGTAGTCAGTAGAGCCTCTCAAATTCATCTTCCAACCATAAATTTTTTCGTGGAGACTTCTGATTCATGGTTCTTCCGAATTAAAATTAGTTAGGAGTTGTATCTGACTATTCACAATTACAGGATGTTCCCGTAAGATCCTTCTTCTCCAGGAATGTTCTAGCAGATAAAAATCGTTCATCAACACCTGTAGCTCAGAATTAAATTTAAAAGGAGGGTCTGCCACTTTCTCTTTTGTGGATACTTAAAAGTTTTGGAGAATTCCAGGCCTTATCACCAGAGATCCTCCTTTATTTGGGCAGGGGAGGGGGCTGACCTAATTTTTTTTTTTTTCCTGGGTGTTAGTGGCAGATGGAATGGGATAGGAGGCAGAAGAATTTGGAATTGAAACTTGGAAGAGTTTCAGTTGTCTGTTATTTATGGCTTTTCATATAGTCAGTTTTCCTGAAATATTTTTATAACCCTTCATCTTTTTTTATAAAATGTCAGAAAGCTGTGTTTTAACTAATGATAGAGGGACTACTATAGAAGATGGGAATCCTATATTGGGGGGTGCTACATCTGTGTTCAAAATGCTGTTAGGCTTCGCTGTGAGCTTGCTGGCACACTAGCACATCACGTTTTAAACTGGGACATCAATGGCATTAGTAAGAGAACATGGAATGTGTGTGTTTCAGCTCGTTCAGTTACTGTTTCTCTATGGTGATGTATTTTAACATACATATGGACTGCAGTTTTAAAAAAAATTATATTTTTTCTTTTAGGTATTGTCCAAACTGTAAAGAACATCAGCAAGCTACCAAGAAGTTAGACTTGTGGTCACTGCCCCCTGTACTGGTCGTTCATCTAAAGCGCTTTTCCTACAGCAGATACATGAGGGACAAGTTGGATACATTGGTTGACTTTCCAATTAAGTAAGAAACTAAGTCTTTTGGGCTAGAAGTGTAAAAGCATGACTAGGGCACATGTTTAATTCAGCAATTATGTAAAGTGGTTTTGTTCTGAGCTTCTATGCTCGCGACAAATTGCTTGTAGGTGAGAAGTATCAACTTGGAAAAATAATAATAGTAGATAGCCACGTGCTGGGCTGCATCAGAAGGAGCATGTGTTCAGCAAGGGAGGTGATTCTCCCACTCTACTCTGCTCTCATGAGACCTCCCACCTAGAGTACTGCATCCGGCTCTGGAGCCCCCAAAGCAAGAGGGACATGGACATGCTCAAGCAAGTCCAGGGGAGGACCATGAAGATGATCAGAGGGCTGGAGCACCTCTCCAATGAAAACAGGCTGAGAGTTGGGCTTGTACAGCCTGGAGAAGAGAAGGCTCTGGGGAGACCTTAGAGCAGCTTCCAGTACCTAAAAGGTGCCTACAAGAAACCTGGAGAGGGACTTTTCACAAGGGCATGTAGTGACAGGACAAGGAGGAATGGCTTTAAACTGAAAGAGGGGAGATTTAGATTAAATATTAGGAAGAATTTCTTCACTATGAGGGTGGTGAGGTGCTGGCACAGGCTGCTTAGAGAAGCTGTGGCTGCCCCTTCCTGGCAGTGTTCAAGGCCAGGTTGGACAGGGCTTGGAGCAGCGTGGTCTAGTGGAAGGTGTCCCTGCCCATGGCAGGGGGTTGGAACTGAATGATCTTTAAGGTCCTTTCCAACCCAAACCATTCTGTGATTCTGTAAGTATGGAAGAACTCTTATCAATAGTTTTGGCCAAGATTGCTGGTTTCTGTTCACTCCTCACAGAGTGAGAGATGCATTCAGTGTAATATAGTGTATGCTTTACTTGTGGGGAATGTAAAGTAAAGAGCTCAAAGACCACCAAAATGTGAAATGGTTAATAGTATTATTAACATGACTTTCTTTTGGTTGTTTGTTTTTTGTGTGTTTGGTTTTGTTTTGTGTTTTGTTTTGTTTTTTTAAAACAGTGACTTGGACATGTCAGAGTTCCTTATTAATCCCAATGCAGGGCCTTGCCGCTACAATTTGATTGCTGTTTCCAATCATTATGGAGGAATGGGAGGAGGGCATTGTAAGTGGATTTCAAATATCATCATTCTACAAGTCTGCTTTCTTTCCATGTTTATTTTGGTTTATAAATACTGATCGCTTTGAATCAATGGCTTTTTTAATGGTTGAGGGATTATTTTTTTTTCATCACCTTGAAATGCTTTCACAAGTATTTTAACACAAAAATCTATATAAAATGAGCTATGAAGGATACTTGTAGGTTCTTTTACATTTATAGCTATGTATATTGTGGAAAGAGAAAATATTAGATCTCCATAAGAGTCACTGTACTCTTACAACTGATTTTGTCTTACTTGCCTGTATTTTTGTACATTGTGCCTCTCCTTGAAAGAAGAGGGAAAACTAAAAAAGTGATTGAGGGATTTTATTTTACTGTTTCTTTTTCACTGTGTGTTCTCTTTAGAAGGGGAATGTTACTGGTTAAGCTTTCTTTGCTTAAAAAAACCCAACAAATGTGTGAAAGTATCAGTCTAATAGTGATAGGTTTTAGTTAAGTATCAAGTGTTTCACAGTAACAGACTCCAGCAACTGATTGTGTTACATCTATGAAGATACAGAGTCCTCAGACATTGTACTTTTTTGTCCTAGATACTGCTTTTGCAAAAAATAAGGATGATGGAAAATGGTACTACTTTGACGACAGTAGCGTGTCCACTGCATGTGAGGACCAAATTGTGGCAAGTACCTTTTGTGTTTCTAAAGTTGGGACTGTGGATAATGTTCTTTTCTTGAGGGAATACAAATGAAGAGTAAACCATGAACCTTGCAGTAATTGTATAGGTAGTAGTTTGTGTTCTTCAAAGGACAACACAAAACCAAACTGGTTTGTTCCAACATAACAGAAATAACTTGTATGAAAGCTTTTGTAATTTTAATGTGTACGCTTGGAAGGAAAGAAAAAATGGATAACTTGAATTGTAAATGTTTTGTCTGGAGCCTCATGAGCATATTACACTTCTCTCTTCTACAGTCCAAAGCAGCATATGTGCTCTTCTACCAGAGACAGGACACGATCAGTGGAACTGGCTTTTTTCCTCTTGACCGGGAAACTAAACAAGGTGCTTCAGCTGCCACAGGCATCCCACTAGAAAGTGATGAAGACAGCAATGAAAATGATAATGATATAGAAAATGAAAATTGTATGCACACTAACTAATGGAAGAACTAGAAGCCATAAGAGACTTTCTTACAGGGGATACCTATTGAAAGAGGGAAATTGCCCACCAAATTAAGAATAAAAATCTGAGATGGGGAATTTCAGATAACAGAATGTAAATCTTTATTAAATTTTAACACGTGCAGTACTTGAAGTGAAACAATAAAAACTTAAACAGAAATTGTCTCTAATGCATTTACAGTCTTGTATTCACAAGCTATATATAGGAAATCACAAATAAACCCCTTTTAAGTTTTCTGCTGCCGTTCTGATGAATTATGTTTTCTTCTGTTTTGGATGTGAGTTAATAACTAAAATGTTAAATTTGTGGACTTCTGACATTTATTTTCTTAGTACTGCAAGAATACTACTGCCAAGTTTAGTTTCTGATGAGTAAATACATGTTCCGTAGGCTGTCACAGAGATTACAAGTAAAAATGTCATAAATATGTAAGCAGTAGTTTTCTTGAAACAGCAAATATTTGTTTCTCCCTAAAAAAAAAAAAAAAGTTGTTTTTTTTTTTATTTGGTGACAATAGAAGAAATAGCTTGAAAAGGTGTTTTAACCTTTTGTGATATAGTTGAGCATCCAGAATATTATGTTCATCTTACTGCTGCTGTGGAACAGGTTCTGGATTTCATGCTGCATTAACAAAAAGTTTTTCAATTAACTGTAAGTATACTTTGTTGCTTGTTGGAATCTACTCTGCAGACATAATTCCTGTTATCTCGCTTATAAGAAATGCATAATTTTAATCTGGTGTCAGTCCAAAATTTAAAATTGTGCTGTAAGTTCTTTCTCCCCAGTTTTTGTAGTTTGACAGCTTGCAAACTACTCTGTAATAGGGTCAGAGTTAATAGTATTCTGTATCCATAGTAATGACTGTGTATCAGGCTTAGATGAGAATTATAACCTGCCTTTAAATTGTTAATGATCAAAATTACTTTAAAGGTAGGCTTGTTAATTTTCTTTGTGTGTTCCTGATGGAATTCACCATAGCCTTACAGCATATCTGAAAAGGCAACTCATTATAAGAGAATTGGCATTTGCATGTTCAAGTCAGAACCTGTACAGTATATAAGGCATACAAACTTTGAATTGGGTTTTAGTTAACTATTCAGGGGTCCAGGATGCCAAAATAAGTGTGACAGTTTGAAACATTTTTTAATTTGCTGCTTTCCCTTTGATCTAGTTGGAAGAATGTATTGATGATTTGTATACAATACTGCCTTTGAGAGGGGCTCTTAAGTGTGGGGGCACACTTCACATATCTACTACCTGGAGAATTGCTTTGTGTCCCACTGTTCAAACAAATAATTTAAAAAAGAAAAAGGCAAAAAGTATGATGTTCTTCACTTGAACTAATCAAATACAATAGGTTATAAATTGTGTATTGTAAATAAAAGTTCACTCTGTGAGTGCACATTTTGGTAAATTATTTATTTATGTTAGCATTAAAAAGTTTAAAAAATTGCATTTGACCAGGATATAAATAAGGTATGTTGGACATGGCTTTGCTTTATACCTTGATATTAAAACTGGTGTTTCATCCTGGTATTTTAAAGCTGCTTTGAGTTCTTTTTTTTTCTTTTTTCTTTTTTTTTTTTAAATGTAAACTAACCTCCTGCATGACAGAGGTTAAAATTTTGTCTGCACTTGAGTTCACTTGGGTTTACATTTGAAATGCGCATGTTTATTTATACAGATTTCAATAAAGCTATTCAAGGCCTTACTTAGTCTTCCATTTTCTTACAAATTCTTTTCCCACAGTGCTTGTGTAATGAGTGATCTTTGTCTATGACTTATATTATCAGTTACAAAATGGCTATTTAATGACCAACATAGAATAAAGTTAATAGTGTATCCAGAAGATAGTATATATGAAAAGGGTTCTCTCCTGTCATTGCCTGGCTCTAAAAACATTTATAAAGCTGAAAAAAACATAAGTATATTGTCATAAAAACCTATTCTTTGGGTTTTAAAAGTAATACTACAACAATAACTAAATGGGAAGTTACTAACTCTGAGGTGGTTGGTGAAACGAGGTGATACATTTAAGATTAGACAAAACCAGTATGGGGAGGGGGGAAATGATACAAGTTTTTGGCTTAGAACTTTGTAGTTAGATGTGGAATTCAGTAACCCAATACAAAGCTATGTACTCTATTAGATTGTAAGTTAAACTTGCTTATTTTAATCAGAACACTTGAGAGAAGACATTTATCTGTGCAGAAAAGGAAGTAATGCTAGAGAAGCAACCATCTCTGAATAACACACGCAAAGAGCCCCAGCTACATTCATACTCCTGTTGGTTTTCACATGTCATGTTAGCCTAGAACTTGCTTGGAAAATAATGGAGGAGCAAAGGATCTGATTTGGCTTACCAAAGTCTCACTTTGGAGTTTGTAAATCAGAGCTTTACTATCTGATAACTCAGTCTCTTAATGCACCTCATTCTCCCTTTGAAAATGCAGATATATACATATATATATATACACACACATATATGGGATCATATATTTGAAGGAATGTACTTACCTGCTAATAGTTGGATCATCCAGAAAGAGCTTAAAATGGTATTGAAGTAAGTAGTGGTAGTAGTGATAGCTAAGGTTAGGAAAAAATTACATATATAGTTTCTAATTTCTTTTTCGTTACTGTTAATTTGGCTTCCAGAATTAAACACACCCAGTTTGTGTAACCAGCTTCCTAATCAGATACAAAAAGCAGTGACATTTCTATGTGACTATCTCAAAGGTTTCTGGGAATTCAGCCAAGTTGTGAGTTCTGTAAAACTAGTCTGTGTTCACACATAAGATGTGATAATTCATCTAATTAATCTAGTGTGGACATGCTTAAAACTACAGAAAGCATATTATTCCTTATGCTGCCTATCAAAAGTTATTGTCACTCAATAGTGGTTTATCTAGAGAAGAAAGAGCGACCTTGCATCTCTTCTTATGAATCATCTCTGATAAAAACCTATGCTTTCTTTTTTCATTTACACTGACAGCAAACTTTTTGATGGTATGAGCGTAAGCCCCAAACAGATAAGATACGGTTAACCTTGTTAATGTGAGACTCAGAAACAAAACAGAGTAGGAGGCAGAAGACAGCTTGCAATTCCAGTTACCCCATGGATTTTGTGACAGCAATAAGTCATTTAAAGCCTGGCTGGGAGGGAGGGAGAAGGAAAGACTGCCCAGCACCTCTTGTTTTAGTTAGCTTCAGACAGTGTTCTGGATGCTTCAGTGAAGATCAGTTCCCTGATCTCTTCTATCATCCACTTAATTAAATTCCTACTTGCCTTCCTGGCACACTGAAGTTTGCAACTATGGTTGAGATGACAGATGAAGGAAGCTGTCAGACATTACCCTGCCAGATGATGTGGAAACATCTCCTGCATCTACAGCTAGTTGCTAATGGGAAAGCCACAACGCCTTCTAGCTTTCCCAGCAAGTTAGTGCTGCATTACAGAGCATTATTTCTTAAGTGCTCTGAAACCTTTAGGGCAAAGTCAGTATGGCAGGCAAAGATTGGCAAACCCACCAAGTTTCTCCAAAAACTATGCAGCCACCTTTGATGTCAAACTAATTTCAGGGTATGGTTTCTCATTGTTTCTAAGCACTAGTTACCTGTATGAAGAAAATCATTATAAATGTAGTGAAACAATTAATATGAAAGCTGTATTTGAGAGAAGCAGTATATTCCTAGCCTGCAAGAAAACTGCTCTTTTCAGAGTTTTTATTTCTATTTCCTTGGGAGGTAACTTGCTGAAATAATTCCACTTTCTTAGTTCCCAGATCCCGTTTTACTGGGCACCCCATGCTCCTGAGGCAGGCAGAGAAGCCTGTCCTTACTGAAAAGAAATTAAATCTTGGAATAGTGTGGAAGCCCCAGAAGAGTCCAAATGTGACAGGTTTATGACCAATATCAATATATAATTCAATTTATAATTCAACTGCAAGTCAACAGGTCAATAAAAGTTACACAGCATTGTGACTCTATAGTTGCATTTGCCGAATCAAACATTATTAGTCATGTTGACTAATTTTGCATTACCTAATAGCTGCTTGATGAATTAAATGCAGTGCCTAAATAGCCCATTTATTGGTGAGACTGGTGGCCTGTATACGTTTGCCATGTATGATGTGGATCCTAAATACAACTTGTAAAGCTGAGACCTAGATTCAGACGCGATTTTAACAACTAGGCTAGGACTATCAACAACAGCAGTTTGATCTTCACATCTTAATTTGAAGAATTTTCTGTCAACAAGAAGTTTCTGGCCTCTAACACTATGTGAATGGTTTTTGGTATTAATTTAAAATAAAATAATTCATATACTAAATTTCTTTTGGTTTCCAAATTCTCGATGAATAAAAAATATGAACATTTTAGATTAATGAACTACAGTTGGGCAATAAAGTAATCAGAAATGTTTTAATCAAATATAATGAAAGCATTTCAGATTTCTGAATAAATGCCTATAATACACAACAATCACTATCCACTGATGGGATGGAGACAATAGAACTTTCTTCATAAAATATCCAGAACCATTGAATTAACTTATTTTTACACAATTGGAAGAAATTAGATAGGAAATAATGCCTTTAGAAGTTGTCGTCAGGAAATGTAACCTTAGGCATTTCTGTAATATCTTTCAGATAAGATGGCAAAGAGTCAGAGACAAATCAAAAAAGTTTGTAGAACTACTTACTATGGGAAGAATTTGATTATCCTCTATAATTGTTCGATTTCTGGTTAACATAAGGCTCAGTCTGAGACTGTCATGTAGAAAGCTCATTTTTATAATATAAATTGCTCCCTTACTATCAAGTGTGATAGATTATACTGTCCCTGTTTTCCCAGTAGTATTTGGCAATATTATTGGAATTTGACAGACATGATATTCTTCCCTTGAAATAAAAAGCCCACACGAACCTTAGTTTATTTAACCAATAAAAAAATCTTCCCAAAACTTCTGTGAACAAATGTGCTGTTAAAAATAGAAGGAAACAAACCAGATTTAAGATTTTAATTTCCATACTCTATTCCAGAACAGACATATTGAGTAATCCAATGGGACTCAACACCAGTAGGAGACAAAAGCAAAAGAACTCAAGGCAAAGAGGAAGAAATTGTGCAGAACTGTGAATGTATGTAAAAATGATGAA